CATTCAAGATGATATCCATGCCCTTCGGTAAGTTGGCGTTGGCATTGTTAACTGCCATGAAATATCTCAGCATAATGTAACAGTTATGGTGAGATGTTTCAGCTTCACATTATACACCATATGGTGTAGGCAGTCTCCTCTGTACTGTATGGATTATCAGCATACTGTAAATCCTGAGTTGGTGCATATTCACAGAATCTTGTACTTATGCATGTCACGTAAGGTCAGACCTGCCTACGCCATGGTCTGTGACCCTACGTGAGAATATAAGTGAAATGTACCAGTTCAGGTAGGCCGAAGGGCAGGTGATGGGTTAAGCTATGTGTGGGTACATGTTATGGGCTGCATTCGGTGCTACCATGAACAGGCGGGATCTCCAGAAGGGATTGTCGGGGGCTCTTTTCAAACCTGAAACTCGTGTGGGTACCCGTACCCAACCCATCAACATGAGTTTTGTTGAAATATTCATAGCAAACAGAAGAGCTTGCCCCGAGCGGTCGGTTGCCCAAAGGGCAATCGCGTATGGTACGTCGAGTAGATACAACAAATATATAATATTTTCTTATAATCTTATAAGTCAGGCCCGGTCCCACCTGACCACGCGCCACACAGCCGAGCTTGCAAGCTCGAACCCGAAATCCGGAACCTAACTGGTTTGTGCGATACGGGAACACACAGCGCCACTCACGGCTCTATCAGTTCAGTGCCGTATTGGGCGGCTGAGATTCGGCTTGCCACACCACGTTCAGTGAAACATGCACATAGACACACCACTCAGAACTGGAGCACAACTTCAGGTATATATAGAATGTCAGGTATGTCTAGGAGGTACTACTACAGTATGATCAATATCAGAGAAGTACAGATACGAGACGTGGCAATTGACACATGCTGTAACCCCCCACATACTGCACGACTGACAAGGCATGACATAAGTATAAGGCCAAACATTATCATAGGTAGAAGTCCAATCTCATTCGCACCACGCGAGCATGTGCTGGCAATCGCAACTGCATTACTCCATCCGCTCCGCATCCCATCGCAACAAAGCCCAGATCACCACCTCGAGCGCATTGCAGAACCGACCGACGCCCGTGCTCACCACCGCTCAAGGTCCCAGGACAGCTTCAGAATGGTCCTGAGGTATTCCAAACTCGAAATGAACAGCTATCCGCCAGTTCTGAGTCGGAGAGAATATACCAAAAGCGAGAGGGCACAAAGTCGGGGAAAGGGCAGGGAGACGACAAGCCGGTGGTTGACTCAAAACTACGGTGATCAGGGCTGCGGTGTGCGTTAGACTGAGGGAGCCAACAATCATGGCAGTAATCACATTTGCGAAGCCTGTTCTTGAGCCGATGGCCCAACGCAAAAGGATGAGGCATTAGGGACAATACTAGATTAGACGGGCGGGACAGTTCTATACAGGTGCCAAGGAATTATACTGTATTTAGATAGTCATGCGAATAGTGGGGACGAAGGGCTGAGAATATCAGCCGTGTCTGAGACGAGAATAGTAACATGACTTACAAAATATTAATATTACTGCCGCTGACTGAGCAACTGGCACACGCAGTCTCTCGCAGCGCGCTGGAAGGCGGCCTCAAACTCGCGACTCTCCTTGCGATTGCCAAGTAGGGTCTTCCACGACTTCAACGTGAGTATGGGAAACGGATATTTAAATTCCCCGACAACGGCCTGTCCTGAGTGGCTGTCGCGCTGATGGACCATGTACCGCCCTTCTTCGAAACGGCAATTGGCTAGAGTCTCGAGGACGGCCACACGCTCCCGGTACCACTCCTCGTTGCGGTGAGACCAGTAACCGACATAGACGCCACTGTTGAGCCAGTGCTTGATCGAAGGGAACCAGGCCATGTGGCGCTCCTCTGCAGGCTGAGAATCTGCAATGGGGATGAAGTAAGCAGAAGGTGCGGGGGGAAACTACGAAGGACTTACCCTTGATGAGGTAAACGCCCGACAGGGCGTCCATGTCTGGGAGAGAAAGGCCATCGTCGAAGTATAGGTACCTTTGATCCCGCAATTCCAGGCCATAGGATCCATCGTGTCCGAGAGGTCCCGCGACCACTAAGGAGATATCCAAATGGCCGCGCGAGTCCAAGGCCATTCGCCAAGGTAGTCCTCCGCTGAGAAAAGCAGCCCGCAGAACGACGTGATCGGCAAAGACACGATCGCGCGCGCGCACATAGGCCACAAAGTCGCAATAATCAGGGGAATACCCCTCCTCGCGAACTCCCAGACCCAAGGTTTCGGAACGAGGGGGTAGTGGGCGAGGGCTATAGTCCGACTTGATTTCACGCCGGCCCAAGGTTTGAAAGGCGATGCCCCGCTGCAGAAGGCAGGCCGCGAGATCGCGCGAGGAAGAGCACGAAGGAAACCCGCGAAGGCACTGGACAGCGGTCAAAGCGTCCTTGACCGCTATGACCCATTGGCTCGTTCCAGGCCCCTTGTCCAAGAGCAAATACCAACGCATGGGAACACGCTTGGGATCCCGAGCGTCCCACACATCCAACGAGCCTATGCGGAAATGGTGACCAAACGGAGTGAGATCACGCGAAAAGAGATCCGACTCCAGAAACGTGCGAGGGGGAGGGCGAGACGCTGCGGAGCGCCCAGGAGAATTCCTGTCGTATGGGGCATGTGACGAGCGCGATGATGTTGCCCTCAACAACGCCCTGTCGGAAGAGGGGCGGTGACTCAGAGAAGTGGGCGGGTGAGATGCGGACGAGCGATGACGCGTAGCGGCAATACCAGATGACTGGCCTTGCTTAGGAGTATGGGGGGACAGGGCTTTGCGAGGAGCGAAACACGACAGAAATTCGACCAATGGTGATGGAGGCATCCACTCGGGGCCTTGAGTGAGACCTAAAGACAGACAGTTGGCCACGTAGAAGCCGGCTTTGGGTTCAGAGCAAGGCGGACCGGCGAGGAGGTGGCTTGCAATGCCATACCTAGACCGCAGTATGGTAGAGAGCGGCTCTACGGTGAATGTCTCTGCTTGGAGCGAAAGGCCGGGGAAAGTCTTCGCAACCAGCGAATTGAAATCGGGCTGGGACGGGGGCGCTGCTTGCGCAACATTGGGGGCAGGCGGGGGATAATAATCGCCGTCATCATCCTCGTCACCCGAGTCTGACCTGAAAATCTCATCGTAGATTTCTGCGGTCGTCTGGGGAGGCGGGCATACTGCCTCGCACGCATACCATGCATACTCGAAGGGATCAAATAATAGACATTGTGGCCGACGAACAACGGATAGCCAACGATCGGGAGCATCCCTTGCACTGTAAAACTTTTTGATCCATCCGTCCCGTCCCTTGACCAGCTCAAAGTACCGGGCTTTGACGGGCCCGTAATCGCCTTTCTTGAGCATCTCCATAGCATTGTGATGCTTTGCGATCAGGCTACGGTCAGTGGTTTTCTGGAGGTGCTCCTGTACTGATCGTTCCTTCCTCTTGAACCACTCCACCGCATCGCCGGCAATCTTCTTATCGAGCGGACTGGCAAGTTCTTCGTATTCAGCCTCATCCTCCGGCTCGTTCGTAGGGGCGGCACTTGCGTCTGCCTGAGGGGGTGCTGACTCAGAGGAGGCTGCCTCATCAGGGGCGGATGGCCCTGAGTGCAGCAGCGACTGCCGATGCTCCCACAACAACGTGCCCCCACGCTGAATGGCGAGTTCGATGCACTTCAACGTTGGACAGTACGGCATATATGCGGGGGAGAGTTGAAGATCGGTCATGGTCCGAGCAGGGTCTTCCGACGGAGGAATCGCAATCCACAAGGGTACCTTCTCGACGGCGGTTTTGATAAAGTTGGGCCACTGGCAAGTCAGCGGATCAACGATGACGCCAGCCCTAGGTACGCTGGCGAGGTACCAGTCTTGCTCCCTGAGGATACCGAGCCAAGAAGCGGGCAGATCAGCATGTTCAAGGAGAAGCTTCCCCTCGCGCCGTTTCATGAGTTCGCCCCGTATGTTGTAGGCCCAGCAAAGCATGCCTATGAGAGGGAGGAAGGCCAATCGAGACAGAGAAACCCGACGCTGGAGGGTAGATAGTGTACCATATCCATTGTGATAACCATATCGGGTGGGGACGATATAAGTACCGGAGAGGGGAGTGAGAGGCAACGTAAAACCTTCCATGAATTTCAATGCTGAATAGAAAAGACATTCTTCCAGTTGTTGCCAGTGCTGGACAATATCGCCCTTCAAGAAGTACTTCCCGTTGCGGCACTCGTAGGGCAAGTTGTGGGGCAAGGAGAGAACCCTGTACATAGGCACCGACGTCTCGAGTCGAGTCGGTGTCCAGGCGGCCCAAGGAAAGGAGTTATTAGACCATTGTACCGACATGAACCATTGCACGGTAGGAATGTTTTCGTCTGATAGACGGCGGGGTATAGGAGGCAGATAGGTGGAGGAAGGCGAGGTGAAGACTTGGCCGGACTCTGTGACAAATATGTTGTGGGGCCTGGGCTCGTAAGTGAAAAAAAGGTGGGGGTAGAGACTCCTCAAGGAGGATGCGTAGACTCGGCGGAGCGATTGGTCATCGCGGCCGAACGCGTCCTGAAATCTGAGGATGGTGTCTTCACCGACGTAAGGCATGGGCTGCGGGATGGCATGAGTCTGTCGCCCATATAGCTTGAGAAGAGGAGACTCACCGCAATCGAAGACGAAGCTAGGGAAGGGGAATAAAGGACCGCACAGAGCGAACGGGAGGGCGAGCTGAGGGGAAGGGTGTGAGTTCGTAGCAAAAAGCATGGAGATAACACGACGTACTCGGCGCGAGAAAAGACTAAGTGAGGATGAGGAAAGATCAGCCCGCCAAAAGAACGAAGACGGGAGGGCGAGCTGGCAAAGGGGGGACTCAGTGAGGAAGGCATATTT